ATGATACAATAATTTTTAGAAGGTAGTTTCACTTCTTCTTATCCGCCATGTTAGCTATCTGACAGAAAACGTGTTTCGTATTTTTTGTTGTACCAACTTTTTCAAAAAAAAAATCCACCTTTTTACGTTGGAAAAATAAATAATATTTTATTTATTTATTTTGGAAAAATAAATAAGTTTTTCTTTAATTGCATGAACTGTAATATCTGCATTTTCTTACACGAATTTTTCTATAATTCAAGAACGTCGGAAGTGTAAGAACTTTGCGTTATTGATGCGGTTGGGTTTGCTGACAAATGAATATTGAATCCATGATACAATAATTTTTGGAAGGCAGTTTCACTTCTTCTTCTTATCCGCCATGTTAGCTATCTGACAGAAAACGTGTTTCGTATTTTTTGTTGTACCAACTTTTTCAAAAAAAAATCCACCTTTTGACGTTGGAAAAATAAATAATAATTTTCGAATATTTTTAAATATTTTTCTTCATAAAAAGTTAACTGCTGCTTTCGTGGATATTGCAACACACGGAATAGGTGTAATGATACAGCTATAAGAGCCACCGCATACCACAGAGTTTATCGGCCGCCTATTTAAATAATAGGGCTCGCTTGAAATATGTACATGAAGATGTATGGAGGTGCGCACACTACACGAGCTTAATCGCTCCTACCAATAAGTTGTGGTGCAATGGAAAGACTAGCGAGCCCATCTAAATCGGCGGCCGATAAAGTCCGTGGTGTGCGATGGATCTAATCCATTATAAACAAGAAATATTGCCGTTATATTTTCATTTTTATGGGGGAAACTTTCCATTATGGCCGTTCGTTAAAGGTGCAGTGGGCGAAGGGGGAGTGGGCGTGGCAAAAATGCAACCCCCGACCACCTAGGCCCCCTATGGTTCCCTACGGACCCCTTAGAAAAATGGCCAAAAATCGCAATTTTTACTTGCGTCCACAGTATTTTTGCGGAGAATTCCTTTCTGCGTAGGCGGCCTTCGGCCGGGCTTAGGGATTATAACCCTTATTATGTAGAATTCTCCTTTCTGTGTGACCTAACTGGGACTACCGCCCCAGTGATGTAAACTTGGGAAAGGATGAGGTAACTAGAATTCCCTTTCTGTGTGGTAAACCTGGGGCTACCGCCCCAGTGATGTCTATTTTGGTTGCTGGGTGTTTTATAAAAATGTCTTGTATATAAAAATGTGTATATACAAATTTATTGTGAAAATGAATATTTAACATATTTCAAGCGAATAAACGCAAATGAAAATTGTGCTTTTTGGCAATTTTTCTAAGGGGTCCCTAGGGAACCATAGGGGACCTAGGTGGTCGGAGGTTGCATTTTTGTCAATGGTGGTTCATTCCCTCTCCAAAAAGGTGGGTTAGAGGTGCCACGCCCACTTACCATTCGCCCACCGCCCCTTTAACGAACGGCCATAAAGGAAAGCCAACCCTTTTTATGATTTTTATTCATGTGATTAGCAGTGGCAAAAATGTATGTATTAAATACGTATATTTATATTTAAAATTAAGTGATCAGTTATGAAACATATAAATCTTTACATGTTCTGTTAAAAAATATCTAAAATAACAAGCGAAAATCCCCAAGTTCTATATCGTAGCAGTGGCCACATTGCGTGTTTGTCACAGACACGGTTTATGTCAAAAAATTTGAAGTGAAACTACCTTCTAAAAATTATTGTATCATGATTCGTACTATTTTCTTGCCAGCAATTTCATTTCATTCAGTCTGTCAACGGATTTCAATTGTAGTTAACTCGCCTTTAAATAATCACAAATCTTCAGTACATCCCTCTATCCCTCTCTCTTGTATCGCATTTCATTCCAAAGAAAACAAAGTTACTAACGCTTTACTTCTCATTTAACGCTCTCAACTTTGCATTAAAATTTAATTGGACTGCAAACCAATCGCCAGCCTCCACTTCTATTCCATACTTTACCGCAATGCAGTCTCGCTACACTTGAAACTTTTATGAAAATATCCCAAACAAAACAACAACACAACAACTGTTACTAGATTTTCTAGCCACTCGCCCACTGGCTTAAACTACCTCGCGCAGCACCTTTGACTTCCATTTGGCTTACGCAGCTGCTGCACTATGTATTACTCACTTCGCATCTTGTGACAAAAGTGCAACACTTGCTTGGTTGTGCAGCAGACAAGTTGCAACAACTTGTGGACAAAATTACCACGTCAAAGTGGCTTAAAAGAACAAGGCAAAGAAAAAAGTAGTGGAAACTATTTCTGAAGAGCGGGCAGCAATAAGTTTATGCCAAGAAAACGCACACAAAAAAATAACAAAAGCAGGAAAAGCAAAGTAATCTGCAGCGTTGTATGTAGAAGCGCAGCCAAGTAAAATAAATTTAAAGCAACCGAGAAGAGATTTCATATGCAACCAAAGGAAAATATGTACAACAAAATGAACTTTGTTTAGCAGTCACACAATTTTCAAAAGCAGCAAAGATTGAAAGAATGAATTGTCATCAAGCTTACTCTGAGTAAAGAGAACACCTAGATGCTGACATTTAAATGGCACCAACAGCAAAGTGACAGCATTGAAAATTTTCTGAATAATATTTAACGTGGGATTATTTGCGAGTAAGCTTACTTTGGTATTTTAAATTTTCAGGTTTTGAATATTTACTTAATCTTTTGCTCAGTTGACATTTAAGAGTGCAGAGAATTTTGCAATCTATTAATGTTTATGTTTACGAATATTTATGTTTACGAATCAGTGTTGGATATCTCAAGAATATCTTTATTTGAATCAATGATAGGAAGATACAGGCTTAGCCAAGAGTATTGGGCAGCCCAATGTATCACTGTTTTTTTAATTTTTCTATTTTTTAATCGATGTAGAATTATTTTTATAAAAGCCGAGCTCACTGTCTAACAAAAAACATATAAATCTGAATTCCAAACTTTGTGCAAAAAATACAAAAATTCAGCAAATTTTCACCAAAATTTCAGACTTTTCATTTCAAATCTTGAAAAAAATTTGGTACGCAGTTTTGTAGCCTACTATAAAAAATGTTTGAAATGTTTGAATTTTTTCGTAGGTATATGGCGGAACGTGCACCTTTTATGAAAACGCAAATTTTGATATAAGAAGTTAGAGGAACAAAAATGCATCGTTTCGAAAAAGATAAAGGTATTTGTTTTATATTTTTTCTCCGATAAAGCCAAAATAATACGAAATATTTTAATACAGATCGAATCCTTCTGTTTCGTATGGAGTTTTGCTTTTCTGTAAACAAAGTTTTGGGAAATACTCAAAGAAAATGGCTATGACAATTTTTTCTCTATTCTGGTAAAATTTATTACAACAGTTCCTCCTCATTTTGAGCGACTGCCAATTCTTTTTTATTATTTAACCAATTTCATTTGGTCTTGTTTTATTTTACTTCACGTTATTTATTTTATTATTGGCTAATTAAAATTTTTAGAGCTCAATTTTATTAAAAAGTCCACAACAGCTATAATTACACTAAAAAAATTTTATGTATGTATGTAATTAAAAAATAGTAACTGAATGAAAATTCTACTGGCAGTGGGACTCGAACCCACGACCTCGCAGCTAGTTAATCTGGATTACTGCCGTCTGTGAAGGTACAATTTTAATCAGATCAACTGCACTATTAATCCGTATCACCGTTGTCGTCTGTCTTCGCTTCCGAAGAAAACCTGATAAATAAATAAATAAATCAGAGGTATCTAATAAATTTACTACTAGTTTGTATATACTTAGCATACGAGAATTTCAATAAAACCAAGGTCTTGATAAAAAAGAAATACTTTTAACTCAAATCAAAAGAAATAGTCTAAAGCAGTTTTAAACGCAGCACAAACCAAAATAAAATACTTATTGCATATTTCGCTATTTTTCGGAAAAACAGGAAAGCCAAACAAAAATTTAATTTCTTGTTCAGCGTAAAAATTCAATTTGTCAAATTTCATTTGACAATGTTCAACGCTGAGGCATTCAGCAAAATGAAGCGGTTGCTTAACAACAAAAACAATAATAAAATACAACGTTTAGCGCCAGCCATTGCTTCAAGTGAAATGGAAGTCCACGAGTCACCCACCCCCCCACGTGTGTATGTGTGTACTTATGTACATGTGCATATGTATGTATTGGAATTTGGCGGTATGAGTATGCGGTATGTGTGCCGCTATTTCAGCATCCGAAACTATACTCCAATATCCTTGCATGGGGAACGTTAACAATACTCGATGGCATAAAAACAATTCTTGACAGTAAGTGCAGTTGCCGCTGGATCCGTTGCCACTGCTGCTGCTGTTGTGGACGCTGTTGCAAGTTCCAACTGCTGCAACCACTGCTGCTGCACCGTTGTTGTTGGTTGGAGAAAGCAGTCGCATGTCTTGAGGGACCCGAGGTTTTTGCACCGCTAAGAAATTGCACTGAACGCGCACACACATGATTTATACGCTGCCAATAAATGAGTTTGTCCCATGGAAAACTTGAAGTCATACACGAAACTTTTTACGTACAAACACGTGTGCATGCGGGCATTGGGAGATGCATATGCAAGCATAGCTTATACATACATATGTATATACCTTAACACATGCATTAAGAGTATTGAATGTAAGTCATATGCGCATTCCTACTTATGAGTAAGTACTTACATACATATGTACATATGTTTGTATGTATGGATGCATTTATAAACTTCTATGCATGGTTACCTGTGGTTGGCCCCAAGCGCCTCGAATCATCGCGCGCTCTACCGGCTACCGCCCTTAACACAACGCCCCCCACTACTGCGCCACATCGCTACCCGCATCACTTTGCAGCAACGGATTGTTTTCACTTGAATGCATGCAATGCAATTTCATATTCATCAATAATAAATAAGTCTGAGTGTTACTGTGGCCTCGTTGCGCCCCCATTGTTGCTGTTGCTGTTGCTGGTATTGTGCTGTAGCTGTAGCTGTTAGTTGATGGTGGCAGCTTGTGTTGGCTGCTGGCTGCTGGCGGCTGGCGGAGTTGTTGCCGTAGTTGTTGTCGCAACAATATCAGCGATTTCAATCAAATTTGCTCATGACAGAGATACAACTCAACAAAAGGACATTGCGAAAATGTGCAACATTTGTTGTTTGTCGGCTGTTGTGACTTTTTTACACAGCATAAAGATTTGTTTTGTCAAAGTGAGTCATTTGTTGCATGCAACGGTTGCATAAATGTATTACTATGCTGCATATTTGAAGAGACACAAACAAGGATCGCGCCTGTGTAGAAAATATGGAAAAGTGCCGGTTTATTCAATTTATGACGTTTAAGAAAATACGTGCAATATTTTCAGAAAATTTACAATATAAGGAAAGAAATTAAAGATGAAGTAAGAACAATTTGAGAATATAATACAATTTGAAACGATGCTTTATTTGTAAAAGACAAAAAAGGGAAGCAAGGAGAATATATTTGGTCGAAAACTATCTTCGTTTTGTTTTTTTTTTAATTGAGCTTGAAAACGGCAAAAATTTGTTTCTTCGTAGAACGTACAAGAACAGTATTTTCATATATATTTACATAAATAAATCAAAAGTAGCGTTAATCGCAAATGATCTCGGATTTATCCCTATTTAGTCGTATATTTTATTAACTAATTTATTTATTTATTCATTTACAGTCTACAAAGTCAAATGCTTCTTACAGACTAGTTAATTAAAAATAGAAAATAGTTGGAGCTTAAGTCTATCCGAACTTGCACTTGCATTTTGCAGTGAAACGAGGACCACAGTTTGAGAAGCACTGCTTAAGTAAGTACAGCCAACAGTTAATGCTATAAAACAAACTAATCTATTCTGCTGAAGCTGACTTTCTGAGGCTCAAAATTAGTTCGTTAGAGATTTAAACAAGTCTCTTTGTGAGATGTGTGATTGGCTTTCTTTGGACAGGCTTGCAAGCTAAAATTTTTTTTTACTGTCTCACACGATTATTTCTTAATCTGTTTCCATATAGATCAGAGTCAATAGCACTCTCGTAAAATGCCGGCTACATACCAAACCAACTCGGAGACTCAACAAAATTTAAATTTCAAAAAGTGCCTAAACTACTCGTATTGCATAACTAGTGTGATCATAATATTGCTTCAACGTCACCCTCGACCTTTTCGGTGTCTAATATTTGCTAGTGAAAATTCAACAGAGAACGGCCGGCCTTTTATCTAAGTACGCACCTTTCATATAAAAGCTTTAATGTAGGCACACACATGCTTATGTACATACATATCCATACCAAAATACACAATTTTACATAATGATGTTCATTACGTTTGACTAACATAAAACTTTCAGTATTTTGGTAGCCGAACATAAATACGAGCAGAGGGGAGATTGTCCGCTGAAATAGACCGAGCGATAGACAATTTTTGCAACTGGCTGGCGATGTGGCGAAATTTCCAGTGAAATGTGTAAATATTTGTATATAGATATAAGGTATGTACATTTGTATATAGCGTTGCATGTATGTCCGACTTTAAAACATATTTGCAAAATTTTGTATTACTCAGCCACTGGGGTGCTTGGCTTGCATGTTGCAAGCATAACGCAGTGTGCCACATGGGGTGTTGAGAAATTAAATGGAATAAAAATATTATGCGCACAGCAACAACAAAACTAACTAGCTGCAATTTTTGGGGGCGAACGTGGGCTAATAGAGGATGATGATGAAAAGCAAGCACAGGTATGCACACACACACACACACACACTGACACTCGTGCGCACAATTGAATGTATGTATGTATGTATGGTTGGTATGTACGTTGAAATATGTGTACGCAAGTGCATACAAATAGCCCAAAGCTGGTCAGCTCAACGCGCAGCGGAAGCCAGTTTCACCTTCATAGTTACGGTAAATTTGTTCATGCACACTCCCCAGGCGAGCGGTGACGCTGAATTAGATAATGGATTATTATTTTATTTCCACTTTGCGCCAACACCGCAAAACAACAACGATGACAACAGCGTCAGCAAAAACAACACTATGTCAAAACAGAACAACGTCAGCTGCAAGAATAAAAGCAACAATAAAACAGCAACCACAAAATCGCGCACAAACTACATACATACATAGTTAAGGGCTTTTTGGGGGGCTGGAAATTACTAAAATATGAAGGGGCGAAAAGTGGAAGTTAAAATGGCTAACCAGCTGCCGCAGCAACGAAGCGTAGAGTTTTGAGTGAGCGAAGGTGCTGGGAGACAGTTGAAGCCAGTGTAAAGGGGGTGAGTGTGCGAAAAGAGGGCATACAAGTTTTGCACATTTTCGCATTTTAGCAGAAGCAGCAATGCGCTTCTGCTTGTCCAGTCACCTTTCAAAAAAAAAAAAAATATTAATAAAAAACACAAATAGAAAAAATACGAGTCCTCTCACCGGAAATGTGTGCGCGCACATAGTTGGCTTGCATGTTGCAAAATACTTTTGCACATTTTTGTTGCAGCTTTTGCAGTTAGGTGTTTTTTTCTTTCTTTCTTTTCGTTCGCTCTTAAAAATATTTCACATTTATGAAAAATTCGTTTTCGTGCAAAATTCAACTTTTTGAACAAAAAAAAAACGATAAGTTTGCAATGATTTGAAGCAGAATGCAATCATTGATCGGCCCACCCTATGTGGATGCCACACTCCACACTTTCTATTATATTCCCATTCATGCCGTTCAGCGTTGGTATTTTTTATTTTTTGTTGCTCTTTCGTTGCACTCCATTCTGGCCATTATGAAATTGGCTAGTTTGTTTGCCATTAGCGGGAGGTGTTAAATAAACTATTAAATTTGTAAACTATGCATTGCCCTGCAGCGACCAGACGCAAATTGCCATGGATAACTGATGCAAATTAAACTAATATTATTGTATGTATGTATGTATGTATATAGCCAAATGACTGGGCGTATGGAGATTGCGTATACGACATGTAGGCCTTTTAATTGGTCAAATATTGTATTCAATTCGGTAATGGGCTTTAGATTTAGTGAATAATTAGCAGTTTGTACTTAGTAGTGGAAAAAATGGAAATGAAAATGTTCAGCAATGAAGTACATCCGTTAAATTTTTGGTGGGAATGATATAAGTTTGGGACCATTCGATACTTAAAATTAGGGTTCTTAAGCTTAATAAAGCTTTAGATATTCCTGAATTATTAATTATTTTATGGTACTTTACTTTTGTGTCTTGCTAGAGTTAAAAATGTTACCTTTGGCCGAAGCGTCGGATTGTATGAATATGTATGATATATATGAATGTGGGGCACACATTTTCCCAAAACATGCTCCACTAAAATTCAATTATTTTTATGTGGTCGCGTTCTTAGGGATACTTCAATATTTTATGTGCGACAGTATACAGTCAAGCATTGTGGAGAAATTTTATTAGAATTTAAAGTGATCTCAATGATGAAACAGTTGGTAAAGGGTTTAAGACCATATTCCGGACTCCCCTGACTCTAATATCAATCAAGAAAAAAAAGTATAATAATTAGGCAAAAAGTGCAATTAAACATATATTTTAAAATTGTAATTTTTAATGGTACTTCTTTCTGCTCATTTTATGGACAAAAAATTCTTATTCGCAAAAAGTAGTAATAATTACACAGTTCAACAAAATTCGCCGTGTTTTATCTCAGAGAAGTGCATTTACAAAATTTTTCTAGCACGTCTAGTTTTTGAGAAAAAACCTGTTGAATATCGAAAAATGACAAAAATTGCAAATTTCAAAAAGTTTTAAAAATACAATTTGGACGTAGTTGTACCGGAAAAAGATACGTGCAAATGAAACTTCAACTCATATGATGGGGGACTAGCCACTATGGAAGATCGGTATGATAGGAAGTCAAACTTGCACGTGCTTTCTGACTATTTCTGGGCCTTGAAAAACGATGATAATGCGATGCATAAAAAAACAATTAGGGGATTTCATTCCAGTACGCGGAAAGTGTTAATAGACAAAAGGCTTTCTGATGATGAATCTGGGATATTGATTTTTATACCTTTCATGAGCATGGAATGGTAATATAACTTTGGTCCGATGTTTGTACCAGAATAAAAAGAGATAGACCCATTCAAATGTATACTTAAATGATCAGAACGTCCATACAAATAATTATTCAGATATGAGATTTTCATTTCATTTATCATTCATTTATGCAGCTAGGAACATAAAAATTCGCACCGTTTTCACTCATTATTAACAGAAAGCTTACAGTATAATTAACAAAGATCGGGTCGCTATAACCCTTTCTCTGCATTTGGTTAATATATTGTACAAAAAAATATCTGCCATTCGTTGGCCTGAAAATGTTAAACTATTACAGCTTAAACAAAAAAAATGATGCTTTGGAAACTATAACATTCTGTTTTCATTATTATAAAAATTTATGAACACAGGGTAAAGAACGGTGATTTTATATAAGTTTGAAAAAATGTCCACAGAGTAAAATATAAATTTCTTAAAGGACATGAACAAAATTGAATATTTTGAATAAGTAATGAAAACATTTCTCTATAAGTATGTACCTAAAATGAAAGTCAACATTTCACTCTTCAATAACAAATAAACACACTTAAACAATTTTGCCGTAAAAAAATTAATAAACGCTCCCAAAAAAAGTGTGCATATATTGTACAAATGCACGCAACTCTAATGTACAATATAGTGTACAAATTGAATTTGGTCAATTTCTTGCACAAATGACACGAAAGGTTGTTAAATTACACTCAGCATAGAAGTGGCCGTTGAAGCAAAACCAACATGTTAGACTCTGCTGCTTGCACGAAATTTGAAATTTGGAGAAGTATTTATAAGAATATTGGAGTAGCTGTTTTTCATAGAAATATTTTGTACACGCGTAGCACATTAGTCCACATATTGTAATTGTGAGTCAGTCAGAGTATTTTCATTTATAACTTAAAAAGCTCCTTTAATATGAGTTCGTGTAAAAAGGGTTTATCTGAAAGCGAAATAGTTGATATACTGGATAAGATAGATTCAAATTTATCTGATTTAGAGGAGGAAAATGATAGTTTCGACGAAGATGCAAACGATGCTGAAACTCATGTGTTAGCCGAAATAAATATCGATCCTGAGGACGACATTCTTATAGATTCTTTTATAAGGCGCAAATTTAACAAAGAAAATGTTCTTGAGTCAAGCTTTTCCGATTTCCGGGAAGAGGTTTTCGAAGCGATCGAATCGGAAGATGAAGGTGAAGGTGAAAATTCAAACAATGCTCAATTCGTTGTTACAGACAAGAAGATGATCACATGGAGGAAACTAAACTATGAGCCAAGCCCATTTTCTTTCGAGTCATGTTCTTTTCAAGGAAGCGAAAATTCTGAGAACCCATTTTACTACTTTAAACAGTTTTTTACTCCCGAAGTATTCGAAAAGGCAACATTTTATACAAATTTGTATGCTACGCAGAGAAACGTTACAGGATATAAAAATGCCACAAAGGAGGAAATCGAAGTTCTAATAGGTCTGCAAATTGCTATGGGAAGTATGCAATTACGGAGAATGTCAATGTTTTGGGATCCGACTGTAGGTGTTACACTTTTTAAAGATTCAATGACAATGAGACGATTTGCACAGTTGCGTACGCTATTACATTTCACCGATAATTTGAAAATACCCAAGGAATGTGGTGACAAATTTGTGAAAATACGTCCGTTAATAGATGTTATTAGGAATCGATGCCTTGAAGAGCCGGTTGAACAAGGTGTGCATTGACGAACAAATAATACCTTTCAAAGGAAGACTTTCTTGTAAAGTTTATCACAAAGGGAAGCCAAACCCATGGGGTATAAAAAATTACGTTCTTTGCGGTAAATCGGGCTTTCCTTATGACTTTGAGTTATATCAAGGAAAACAAACTTGTTTAGACCCGCAAGTTTTAACAAAATATGGATTCTCGACCGCAATTGTCCTACATCTATGCAAAAGACTAGTCAACAGTGGACATAATCTTTATTTCGACAACTTTTTCAATTCATACAACCTGCTTGAAATTCTTACATATTTGAAAATTAATGCAACTGGGACAGCACGCATAAATAGGTTCGGGAGACCTCCGCTGGGCTCAGACAAAGAACTGCAAAAAAAAGGGCGTGGCGCATACGAATGTTTAGTGAGCAACGATCGTAAAATATGTCTCGTAAAGTGGCAAGATAGCAGACCAATACATATTGCTTCAAATTTCGTTGGAACAGGAGAAGAAGATATTGTTAAAAGATACTGCAAGCAATCAAAGAAAATGATAGAAGTAAAAAGACCAGAAATAGTGCGGAGATATAATGCATCGATGGGCGGCGTTGACTTGTTGGATC